AGGCAGACACATCACTTGAGCCCAGGAGTTCAGGAGCAGCCTGGGCAACATGGTGCAACCCCCATTCAGAAAGAAAGAAAGAGAGAGAGAGAGAGAGAGAAAGGAAGGGAGGGAGAGCGGGAGGGAGGGAGGGAGGGAGGAAGGAAGAGAACGAGAAAAGAAAGAAAAGAACCTTTTCTGAATGAAAAGATACTCTGAGTGTGGAAATTAACAGGCCCGCCTCCAGGTACCTGTTCAACAAGGTCGAATCTTCAAAAACTTCAAGATCTTCCAGGAAGAAAGGAGAGATCATGTTTAAAGATCCAAGACTGGCTTTGAGTCCTGCTACGCCAGCCAAGGAGAAGAGAAAGGTGGGGACGGTTCGTATACAGCCAAGAGAAAAGTGACTTTTATTAAAGCCTGGATCCACAGCCAAGGAACACTTGTCTTTAAAATACCCATAGTTTCCCCCGAACCAAATTCATATGTTGAAGACCTAATCCCCAGTACCTCAAAATGGGACTGCATTTGGAGATAGGGCCTTGAAAGAGGTGATGAAGTTCAAATGAGGCTGTTAGAATGCGCTCTCATCCAACCTGACTGGCGTCTTTATAGGAAAACATTAGGACATGCAGGGACACTGGAGGTGTGCACGGAGGGAAGGCCATGTGGGGACACAGGGAGAAGAAGGTGGCCTTCTGCAGGGCAAGGAGAGAGGCCTCAGAAGCAACCCAAGCTGCTAACACCTTCTTCTTTTTCTTTTTAGACAAGGTCACCCTTTACTCTGTCGCCCAGGTTGGGGTGCAGTGGCGTGGTCTTGGCTCACTGCAGCCTCGACCTCCTAGGCTCAAGTGATCCTCCACTACATCCAGTTATTTTTGTATTTGTTGTAGAGACAGGGTCTTGCTATGCTGTTTAGCCTGGTATTGAACTCCTGGGCTCAAGTGATCCCCCTGCCTCAGCCTTCAAAATTGCTGAGATTATAGATGTGAGCCACTACATTTGGTCAATACATTGTTTTGAACTTCCAGCCTCCAGAACTGTAAGAAAACACATTTCTGGCCAGGCATGGTGGCTCACGCCTATAATCCCAGCACTTTGGGAGGCTGAGGCAGGTGAATCACTTGAGGTCAGGAGTTCGAGACCAGCCTGGCCAACATGTGAAAGCCTGTCTCTACTAAAAATACAAAAATTAACCGGGCGTGGTAATGGGTGCCTGTAGTCCTCGCTACTTGGGAAACTGAGGCAGCAGAATCACTTGAACAAAGGAGGTGGAGGTTGCAGTGAGCCGAGACTGTGCCACTGCACTCCAGCCTGGGCGACAGAGCGAGACTCCATCCCAAAAACAAACAAAAACACGGATGTTGTTTAAGCCACCCAGTCTGTGGTATTTTGTTATGGCAACGCTTGAAAACTAATAGAGTCCAGGAAACAATTTGTCAACCAACTTCCAAACAGCAAAAATCATACATAGGCTCGGGAAGAAATGAAAGACACGTGAGCAATAACCATCCTCAGATATTAACAAAGGATGATTGATAGACAGTAAGATCAACCAGCACATCAAACGTGTGGAGGGAATTGTTAGGAAAGAAACTCAGAATCTCAAAAAGGATTTTCTTTAGCTAAGATATTTCAGCAGATGGGTGGGTAGGGTATAGAGGGAGAAGGGAAGAACAATAAACTGAAACCATTTAAGTCTTTCTCTCCTCTAGAAACCAGTTGAGAGATTGGCAGATTTAATAATACTTTTAATTTACATTTCAGTGACGTGCTTACCAAGACGATTACCACTTCATTTTATTAAAGGTTACACAAATGCTAAAAAGAAACCGTTACCTAGTGTGTGTGTGTGTGTGTGTGTGTGTGTGTGTTTTGAGTTGAAGTTTCACTCTTATTGCCCAGATTGGAGTTCCATGGTGCTTCCATGGTGCAATCTTGGCTCACTGCAACCTCCGTCTCCTGGATTCAAGTGATTCTCCTGCCTCAGCCTCCGAGTACTTGGAATTACAGGTACCCACCACCACGCCCAGTTAGTTTTTGGACTTTTTAGTAGAGATGGGGTTTCACTATGTTGGCCAGGCTAGTCTCGAATTCCTGACCTCGAGTGATCCGCCCACCTCTGCCTCCCAAAGTGCTGAGATTACAGGCGTGAGCCACTGTGCCTGATCACCTAATGCATTTTATTAGGAAAATGTGATACTGATTCTCACATCTGATAAGCCCAGCACTAGAAAGTTCTAAGCAATGCAAAAGATCCCCAAGAGTGATCTGCCTCTAATCTTCTGAGATGCCTCTAATCATCTGAGAGCACCTGCAAGGTGTGGGGTGGAACAGACAATGGACCGGGAACCAGGAGACTTGGGTTTGAGTCTCAGCATTGCTCTTGAGCAGCTCTGGGCTAGAGGCATACCATTTAATCTCTCTATGCCTCAATTTCCTAAGTTTGTAAAACAGTTCCAATACTCCGGATGCAGGGGTGTTTGAAAACACGGATATTGCCCTAGCCTGTTGGTATAAGTGAAGTTATAGCAATATTAACACCAGGGTTATGGTGACTCAATGCAAAATTGTCTCAACCAGCCTGGCCAACATGGTGGAACCCCGTCTCTACTAAAAATACAAAAATTAGCTGGATGTGGTGATGGGCGCCTGTAGTCCCAGCTACTCGGGAGGCTGAGGCAGGAGAATCACTTGAACCCAGGAGGCGGAGGTTGCAGTGAGCTGAGATCGCGCCACTGCACTCCAGCCTGAGCAACTGGGTGACAGAGTGAGACTCCATGTCAACAAAACAAAACAAAACTGTGTCTTGAAAGAGCCTCCCCAACAGTTTCTGGAAGTTCCTGGTTTCACTGGTGCTCAGAGACAGGTGAGCCAATCTTGCAGGTGGCTTCCTGGAAGACAGCCCCCCAAGACAGCTGAGGAAGGCATCCTGCCTCTGGCCTAGACCCAGCTGCTGTTGCCACCCATGGAAACACAGATGCTCTTCCCTGATACTGGGTTCTCTCCTGCAGGGTCCCTGCAGGTTGTTCTATTTAGTTCTTCATCCATAGAACTTTGTGCTTGCTTCTCGTGTCCGCTTCTGTAGGGCAGGCTCAGGCTGGGCTGGAGCCGACATTGTCCCCTGCCTGGGGACACATCTGTGTGTGCACATGGAGGTGCAGGCAGGGGGAGTCCTCCATCCTCAACAACTGCTCAGGGTCAGTCTAGACCATCCTGGAGCAGAAATGTTGGGTTTACAGGTCCTCAATCCTTTCTCTGAACTCGGCACCACACGTGTCTTGGAATTCAGAATACGTCAGAGCAGAGGAAGGTGCTGTGTGGATCTAGTGGTGTGTGTTCGATCACTATCTGTGGGGTGTGGACAGCAGTGCATGATCACTCCACTAGCAGTCCCAGGTGGGGCTGGCAGGATTCACAATCACAGGACAACCTCAGGACCAAAAATCACCTCACATCAGTTCAGGTCACATTGTGCCACTACATGTGTTTGTGGCAAAGTTTGGAAACATGTTTTGGTTTTCAGAGCTTTTTGGAGTTGAGAATCATGGCTAACACATTGGAGACCCACATTATCCTCTTTCTGGGTTAGCTGAACCTCCCCGTCTGGACATCCCTGCTCTGGGGAGAAGCAGAGAGGCAAAGTGGAAAGCCAAGCATTGATTCTGCATTGACTGTGTGCTGGGAGCATTGATTCTGCACTGACTGTGTGCTGGGAGCACTGATTCTGCATTGACTGTGTGCTGGGAGCACAAACAGCTCTTTCACTGATGTCATCCCACTAAGAGGGTGGGGGCAGGTCTGAACCTCCCATTCAGGACAAAGGTCAGCTCAGCCTGACCAGGAAGCAGAAAGTGGTACTGGCTGAGCGCTAATGTGTTTACCCACAGCCTGAGCAGGTGGGAGTTCCATCTGCTAATGCCTCCCAGCTGCCTCTCTGGGATGGTGGTGCTGAGACGAGAGAGGGGCCCTGGAGAGGTTCCCTGGAGAGGCTGGAGGTGCTGAGCAGAGCTCCTCATGGCTCTGATCGGCTCTGCCAACTCCCGCTTCCCATTGGTGGAGGAAAAGACCTTTCCCCAAGGGGTGTGGACTCGGGTCGCTCAGCAGAATCTCAGGGTCATCTCCAGCTAGGTCCTCCTTTCCTGTTCTCCTAGGACCCTGGGTGAAGAGACCATTTTCTTTCTCCTCATTGGCAACAACAAAAACCACAGCCCCAGTGCTGGTTCTGGGCCCATGAACCTGTTCTGGCTTAGGGCAGGGAGTAATGTGGAATCAAACCAGGGTGTTTGAGACCTAGGGGGCTGTGTCTCCTGTGGCTGGACAGACATGGGCCTGGGCTCCTCACATCTGATTTAAGATCACCCCTTTCTGGCTGGCCTTGGGGGCTTTTGTCCTCCAAGCAGTCCCCTCCCATTGCTCAGCTCAACCTCTTTGATTCCCCCAGCCTAAGAAATGCTTTAAGTCCTGAAGATCTCTTCCTTTTCAAACTCTTGGCATTGCCACTGGGAGCTGGAGAGGTGATCCATTCAGGGAATGAGAGGCAGGCACCAGGAAAGGGGGGTGGGCTGGAGACAATTCACATCCATCCATCCATCCATCCATCCATCCATCCATCCATCCATCCAT